GTGTGTGTGTGTGTGTGTGTGTGTGTGTGTGTGTGTGTGTGTGTGTGTGTGTGTGTGTGTTTGCTGGTTCTGTGTAAGAGTGTTAGTTTAGCACCAGTGACTCACGGTTCTCCTCAGGGATCTTCATCCTCATGTCTGGACTTGAGTTGCTATAATGGTTTCCCTCAGCTTCACTCCAGAGATCCTCTTCTCTCCCGTCTGCTCGCTGCTGAAGGCCACATGCTGATGAAATATTCACAAAACACTTTCAAGAGTCATTAAAAGCATCAGCCATGTGTTAACGGGGTGTGCTAGATCTATGAGTGTGTGTGGAGTTGTGGTTTTAGCGTAGCCTGAAGTGCTAAAATGCTAATAATAATTGCTGAATTCAAGCTAACGCTAACTTTACTGTTTGTGTTCTTGTATATATTTTGTATTTAGGCGATTTTTTATGAGTATGTAGATGTTTTTGCATCTGTATGTCACTGTTTTACCTTGTGGAGCCACACACACACACACACACACACACACACACACACACAGATCAGAAAAGCACATGTTGTTCCTGTCTGTCTTTGTCTCGACTCTTAAGCGTGTTTCACTGCAGTGACGAGGCTGTTTGACGCTCACCGTGTACATCATGCAGTGTTTCCCAGGTGATAGTTGCCTGGTAACAGACAGATTTGTGTGTAACTGGCTCAATAAGACACACACACACACACACACACACACACTTACTGAGGAGGACAAGTTGTGTTACTAGCTCAACACACACACATACATGCATGCAGGACAAATTGTGTGTTACCAACTCAATACATACACACACACGTACACACTTACTGAGGAGGACAAGTTGTGTTACTAGCTCAACATACACACACACACACACACACACACATATACGCACTTACTGAGGAGGAAGAGTTTTGGTACCAGCTCAACGCACACACACACACACATACACACTGAAGAGGATGAGTTGTGTTACTAGCTGAACACACACACACACACACACACACACACACACACACATATACACATTGAGGAGGACGAGTTGTGTTACTAGCTGAACACACACACACACACACACACACACACACACACACACACACATATACACACTGAGGAGGACGAGTTGTGTTACTAGCTGAACACACACACACACACACACACACACACACTGAGGAGGACAGGTTGTGTTACTAGCTGAACACACACACACACACAGACATACATATACACACTGAGGAGGACAGGTTGTGTTACTAGCTGAACACACACACACACACACACACACACACACATATACACACTGAGGAGGACAGGTTGTGTTACTAGCTGAACACACACACACACACATATACACACTGAGGAGGACGAGTTGTGTTACTAGCTGAACACACACACAGACACACAGACACACATATACACACTGAGGAGGACAGGTTGTGTTACTAGCTGAACACACACACACACAGACACACATATACACACTGAGGAGGACGAATTGTGTTATTAGCTCAACAAACACAAACACAATCACAAACATACAGGACTAGTTGTATGTTACCAGCTCAACACACATATACACAAACACGATCACAGAGGACAAGTTGTGTGTTACTGACTCAATAACATATTTAAAGTGTGTAATGGCTCAGTAACACACTCAAGAGTCTGAGCCGTGTGTTACCAGCTTTAACACACACATACACTCACACATTTAACCAACAAACAGAACAATTTCTTACATTTCATCTAGAATTGTTGCTGGGTTTTGCATCTGTAGTGTTTTATTAATCAGTGTATCATCACCGTAAGCATTTCTGCCATCAAACTCCGACTGTTGACAAGTCATCGGTCAGTTATGATGATCATGAACTGCCAAATATCTGCTCAGTGATCAACAACTACATTTATTAACTCTTCTCACTCTGCAGACGTTGTATCGATACGTGCTGGAAGACGTTTATGAGTTTCCCACACTGGAGAAAGACCTGAAGGAGTTCCAGAAACTTCTGCGCCGGAGACAGTGAGTCTTGTTTTCATTATTTCAGCAGCATTAATCACTTGGACTCCACAGGTAAACCCAAACAAACACGTGCTGAGTCTGTCTTGAGCTCTTTACACTTGTCGCTTTAATCAGCTCGGTCTCACTGTAGCCAGATTAGCGTGGAAGCGTTCGGCCTGGATCCTGTGTGCAGGTTTGTCCCGGTGGATCCGGCTCTCATCCTCAAGGTTTGGCAGCAGATGTTGGTAATCCCGCTAAATGAGGCAACAGGCCTGCAGGTGCATTTATGACTGGTGTGAGGGGCGGAGATTCACTGATCTCATGATCTGATTGGCTGCCTGATGAGCAGATGGGTAACTGAGCGTGACTGTCTGGATGTGAAATGAATATAGACTAAAAGTGCCATCAGCTGGGGTTCCATCTTATTGGAAACACATTATAAATAACTCCTCCCCTAAATAGTGCACTGTTTAAGGATTTAAGGGGGCGTTTTAAACACATCCATAGACAAAACTGGGAAGTATGTGTGAAAAGTTACAAGAACTGAAAACAAATAGGACGATTGAATGGAGAGCAAACTTAGACAGTTACTGTAGGTCAATTCAGAGATAAACATAAAGGTTTATGTTTGTTTTTTACTTTTTATAGGTTCACAACACAAATATAATATAAATAAACCTCAAATGTTTCTCAGTAGGCTATTTTGAATTGACTTTTAAAACCTCATTTGTTTCTTTCAGACACCAGTGACACTTTGTGATCTTTATTAATTTAGCAGATGCTTTTATCCAAATCAATTTACAAATGAGGTTGAAAGAAGCGCTTAAAATTTATTTATTTATTTATTTATTTATTTGGCGGTATTATTTATTTATGATTTATTAATTATTTATTTTTATTTATTCATTTTTGCGGTAATATGTATTTTTATATATGGGGAATATTTATTTATGTATTTTTTGGGGGGGATATTTATTTATTTATATATGCAGGAATATATATTTATTCATATATGGGGGAATATAATTTTTTATTTTTTGTGGGGTATTTATTTGTATTAGTAGGAATATATTTTTATTTATATATGAAGGAAATTTTTTTTTGGCGGGGGGGGGTATTTATTTATTTATATATCCAGGAATATATATTTATTTATATATGGGGGAATATTTATCTTATTTTACTTCTTTATTTATTTATTTTTTTTTTTTTTTTGGGGGGGGGGGTATTTATTTTTATATGTAGGAAACTATATTTATTTATATAAGGGATAGTATTTATTTATTTTTATTTTTTGTTTATTTATTGGGGGATACTTATTTATTTATATATGCAGGAATCTTTATTATTTATATATGGAGGAATACTTATTTATTTATTATTTGCTTATTTATTGGGCAGAATTATTTATTTATACATGCAGAAATATATATTCATTTATATAAAGGGGGAATATTTAATTAATTATTTATTTATTGGGGGTATTTATTTATGTATGCAGTTTATTTATATATGGGTAATATTTATTTATTGAAGAGGGGTTTATTTATATATGTAGGAAAATATATTTATTTATATTTGGGGAATATTTATGTATTTATTTATTTGGGGAGCCCACTCAGCATCTTGAAGCATACTAAAAATTGCAAGTTTTTTGCTTATTGATTTAATTTTTAATTATGTATTGTTAATATTTGAATTTGTCCCTTATTTCTGTATTTATTTTCATAATTTATTTATGTTAATGTATTTTGTTCTGAGGTTCAAACTAAACCCAATAAATATATTTTGGCAAAAAAGCAGAACAAAGAAAGAAAGCGAGTGGTGTTTTGTTCTCCACAAAAAGGTTTGTCGATGAAGCAGTCATTTATCTTGCTTAAACAAAAGTCGAGGGCGCGAGACAAACACAATCATGCGTCTTTCGCTTTCTGTTAGCGCGTCAGTGTTGTTTTAGATGGATGTGGTTCAGCGACAGAGACAAATGGAGAGCGAGACAGGAGTGTCACAGGAGACAGCAGGCCCACACGTCTCTGTCTGAGCTGTTAAATCAGTTCACTTCCTCCTGCTGCATCTGTCAAACGTACAGCTCCACATTTATTCAGCCATGAACATCTCATTCTGGCTCTCTAACTTGCTTTCTCCTTCTTCTTTTTTTCCTCAGTACGGTGGACGACTATTCTCCACACCAAAAGGTAAGAGAATTAAACTAAGACTCACAAGTTAGTAAGCTCAGGGTGTCTGCGGGCTCTTAAATTTTAGGCCTTAAACTCTTAAATTAACTGAAATATTGTCGTGTAGGTTCTTAAGCTCTTTTAAACAGGACTTCATTTTTGTTTGTTGATGTAAAGCTACCCAATTGATCCAACATACTGTACATTCAGTCACCAACAATACATCTCAATGAAACTTTTAGCAATGCTCTACTTATAACTAATATTATACCAGTGCATGGTTACAACTAGGATCAACTCTAGGAAGACAAGCACATCACAGATGCGCTGTGTTGAGGTTGGAGGTTTCTGATCCTTCCACCTAGTCGTTTGGCTAGGAGCAGTGGTGGAAAGAGTACCATTACTTGCCTAAAAATGTAGTGCGAGTAGAGTAAAAGTATCTGTTGTAAATATCACTCAAAGTATGAGTAAAAAGTAGCCCTTTCAAAAGTAGTCATGAGTAGTGTGTATTACCTTGTGAAAAGCTCATGTGTTTACATGTAATTTGTGGATGTGTGTAAACGTAACATTCTGTAGTGCATTTGGCTATTGCCCAGCAGGCACACAACATCATAGGACGTTAATATTAGGTTCATATTAGACTTAGGTTGTAATGTCAAGTGAACAAAATTCTATGTCTAACCAGCGTCTAAAGATAACGATATTTAGATGTCTAATAACGACGTTAAATGACGTTGATATTTGGTTAATTTTAGGCTGTTAGGGCCAACTCACACTATACCATCCGTACCGTGCCCAGGCCCGTTTCCCGGATAGTTTGAGAAGTGTGAGTCGCTGAATCGGGCTCTAGCACAGTTCACTTGGCCGGCCCTGGCACAGTTGAAAGAGGTGTGCCTGAGCGCGGATCACTTGGGCTTTGGCGCGGTACGCTTGTGTGTGAGTGCAAAACGCACCAAAGCCCGAAAGCGAAAGCGAGACGTGACGCAGACCTCCTCATTCCTGCAGCACGAGAGCTTTATTGTTTATGAGCGCCAAAAGTGGCGGATCTGTTCGGCGAAATATCTGACTGCGTGTCCCCGCATCCCTAAGGACTGTTTGGCGAAATATTTGACTGCATATCACTGCATAACAAACGACTGAAAGGATATAACTAGAGAAATCTCCACTGTGCTACTGGGTGAGAGCGTATGGCAAGCCGTTTTAGCATTTAAACCTTGTTCTGACTATCCATAAATATATTTAGAGATATAATTATATTTTGACTAGTCATAATTATAATTCGACTAGTCAGAATGACAATTACAGATATTTGCAATTACAATTGTACTAGTACGAAATCAGATTGGAGATATCTGCAAATATATTATGACTAGTCATATTCCTCCATTGACTTCCATTGAAAAATATTTGCAGATATCTCTAAATGAGTTTTGACTCGTCAAAAATCCAATTCAAGATATCTACAACTGTAATTCGACTATTAGTAAATTAATTAGAGATATCTTCAAATATATTTGTAAATATCTCTAAATATGACGAATTAAAGACATCTCCAAATGTATTATGACTAGTAAAAACTCAGTTAGAGATATCTCTAATTACAATTGTGACGAGTCAAAACTCATTTAGAGATATCTGCAAATATTTTTCAATGGAAGTCAATGGAGGAATATGACTAGTCATGATATATTTGCAGATATCTCCAATATGATTTCGTACTAGTACAATTGTAATTGCAGATATCTCTAATTGTCAATCTGACTAGTCGAATTATAATTATGACTAGTCAAAATATAATTAGAGATATCTCTAAATATATTTATGGAGTCAGAACAAAGATTTAAATGCTAAAAGGCTTGCCATAGAGAGCGCTTCTGAACAGCGCAGCAGCGGTGACGTAAGCATGCCGAGGCCCGATATGGTGTGAGCGCGGGCCGTCGGGGGAGACGGGAGGGGGGACAAGCGTGCTTTGGCCCGGTTCGAGGCAACTGTACCTAGTGTGAGTACGGCCTTAGAAAGTGACCAAACTCCAACGTCGAGCCAACATCTTAAACCAACATCATATTGACGTCAAATACTGATATTTATTCATCAGGTATGGCAACCAAACACCATCATCTGATAGACATCATAGTGGTAATGTTAACACAATTTCAAGCTGTGACATCATTAGACGTTGATATTTGGTTGGTTTTCGGTTGGACATTGACGTTGGTCTGACATTGAGTTCTGACGTCAACCCGATTTTCATTTCAATTGAATTCAGCTTTATTTGTATAGCGCTTTTACAATGTAAATTGTGTCAAAGCAGCTTTACAAGATCATAGCAAATACCAAACAAAATGCAACGACATTGGGGTACAACGTCAATCTGACATCATGTTGATGTCTTGTGCTTGCTGGGTGTTTAAGGCCATTTCGGTCCCCATACATCATCCGTCATCTTCTCATCAGTGACATGCATTCAATTCAATTCAGCTTTATTTGTATAGCGCTTTTACAATGTAGATTGTGTCAAAGCAGCTTCACATACATGGTCATAGTAACTGGAACAGGGTAGTTCAGTTTTTAGTGTTTAAGTTCAGTTCGGTTTAGCTCAGTTCAGTGTGGTTTGAAGTCATTACTGAGAGTCCAACACTGAAGAGCAAATTCATCGATGAGTAGCTTTTCAGATCCTGAACCATGCAAGCCAGTGGCGACAGCGGAGAGGGGAAAAAACCCACCATGCATCTAAACAGTCTCTGGGTCAATGTGTAAAGATTTTGAACATCTTCTTGGACACTTTTAATGCTTTCAATTAAAACAGTTTGCTGCAATTGTAAGTCACCCATGTCTTGAGGTAGTTCATTATAAGGCGATTTACCTTCTATGTGCGATTTGATTGGACGGGAATTACAGGACTGATTTTTCTAATCCCCATAGACAACACAAAAATAAAGTAGTGACTGCAGGTTTAAAGAAATTAGTGAGAGTAAAAGTACACATTTTTAAAACTACTCAGTAAATTACAAATCCTGAGAAAAAGGAATTAATTACAGTAATTTGAGTATTTGTAATTAGTTACTTTACACCACTGGCTAGGAGCACAATAAAAGCTATGCAATCAGATTGTATCTTTGTAAGATTATATGACGAGGGCAAAATCCCAAAAATGGCTATCAGTTGGCAAGCGGAGATTGATTTACCCTGACATTTGTCCAAAAACTAGGTTTATATTCACATTTGCGACCAAAGTTTGGCCGTTTTAGGTTTTTCCGCAACTCTGACTTAATTTATTAATATATATATATAAATATATATAATATATATATATATTAATTTATTAATATATGTATAAAAATATATATTTATATTTTTCTTCAAACTGCAAAAATAAAAGTCACAATTGTGATAAAAAATTCACAATGATTTTTTTTTCTGTGACTTCCATAAAATGAATTGAAACTTTCTAATAATACAAAATGCGTAGGTTTCCTCCGGGTGCTCCGGTTTCCCCCACAGTCCAAACACATGTGATATAGGGGAATTGGGCAGGCTAAATTGTCCAAAGTGTATGAGTGCGTGTGTGTAAATGTGTGTGTGGATGTTTCCCAGAGATGGGTTGTGGCTGGAAGGGCATCCGCTGCGTAAAAACTTGCTGGATAAGTTGGCGATTCATTCCGCTGTGGCGACCCCGGATTAATAAAGGGACTAAGCCGACAAGAAAATGAATGAATGAATGAATAATAACACAATATATATTTTAGATATTTTATTTTATTTTTAGATGATTTTAATTGTGAATGCCTTTGTGTTTCCAGAATAAAGCACTATACCAGCAGCTGAGTCTGAAGGAAAACTCTGTTTCTTTGCGAGCGTCTCCCGTCGAGAGTAGAGATGGTAAAACCTCAATCTAATAATTCTGATAATGCTTTGCTAAAATTAAGCATTGACTGTGCAATAAATACAAACAACAAAACATCAAAACTTGTGTGCATTAACATGATTCCAGGATCAGTTTGGTCAGTTTTCACTCCCGAATGAATAGCAGTAACTGATGCCCGTCTCTCTCTTTCTCTGTGTGTGTGTGTTGTCAGTGATGTGTCGTGTGTACGTGAGCTGTGACTCGTATCTGAGCATGCGTGTGAAGCCTGCAGTCGTGGCTCAGGAGCTGCTGCACATCGTCTCCCAGCGGATGGACAGATGTGAAGACGACATGATGCTGCTGGCCCAAACTTACAGCGGAGGTTCAGACACACACACATTTACACACACGCAAACACACACACAATTACACAAAATCACAGACATACACATAAACATACTCTCACACACAAACATTTACACACGCAAACATATACTTACACACACCGACACAATACCAAACATCCACAGACACACACACACACACACAAACATATAGATACTGTATACTCACACAAACCTAAACATATGCACACTCACACACTCATAAACACAGGCACGCATATAGACATACATTTACAAAGACACACAAGCATATGCACATACACACACACACACACACACACACATAGACACAAACAAATGTGCACATACACAACACATACGCACACACAAACGTATACACACATCCACAAACATACACACACACACGCAGACACAAGCAACATACAAACATACACAAACTCAAACACACTCACACACAAAGTCAAACATACTCTGTGCATACTGTGAGCACACACATGCACACAGACACAAACATACACACACAGACGCAAACATATGCACACACACACACTCATGTACACACAGACACACATGACAGACAGAATAAATATCTATACCTCTCTGTCTCTTCTGTGTGATAGAGAAGAGGGTCCTGCAGCCGCATGACAGTATTTACTCCGAGTCTCTGGTGGCTCCTGGCAGACTGATCGCCTGTCGAAGAGACCTCAGCGAGATTCTGGTACACACACTAAATTTAAAAGAAAATTTTATATATATATATATATATATATATATATGAGCAATGTCACACTCATAGCAGTAAGATGTGGTCTCCCACCAGTGACGATATACAGCCACATCCCACTGCTACGAGTGTGATGTTGTGTTTATACAACAGTTCGATAGAATAATCGTATGTATACAAAAAGAAAATCAAACATGGAGAGGCTCAAAACCCTTATGTAAGAGGAACTACTTTCTTCAGCCATTCCTTGACATCTGCAGCTGACGTCAGAACAGCAGAAACCGTTACTAGCTCACCAACGTCACTTTAGAGCTAGTGTTTGAATGATTCTCTAGCGTAATGTCTAAAATAATGACAAAGCAGCTGATTTAGCTCACATTTTAAGATTCTAAGGATGAACGGCATGAAATGCCATCAGTCTGCAGAGATTTCCCAATATTTCTCTGTTGCAATCAGGAGAGCCCAATAATTAACCTCGAAAAAGCCAAAGCAAAGCAAACACTACCAGAATACTGTTGCGTTTGCTATAAGGAAAAACAATGAACACATGCAGATATTTCTTCTTTTTTTTCTGTTTACTAAACTAGTCTTCAATAGTGAAAACAGGCGACGCATTAGAAACAGATGGCCATCTCCGGTTTAACGACTTTAAAATCTTAGAGTCCCATCTCACAATCCAAGAGTCCCATCTCACACTCAACACACTATGGCAGCCTAAAAATACAGCACTACAATATATATAAAAAAAATAGTTCGACTTAAAAAGCCACTTACCAGTTTTATCATAATTTGATCAGCTGTAGTTTAAAATTACGCTAGGTTTTTCCTCACCTGTAAGGGCTTATTATGCGGTCTCTGTCGCCCTCTTGTGGATGGACAACGTCAACCATCTTTGGTCTGCTCAAAGACAGGCTAATGGCTGTGACGCAGTCTCTCTCAAAAACGATAAATATTTCAAAATATATTTCACTATCCTTATAAATAAACTGATTAGTTGCAATCTAAAAAACTACATTCTCGCCTAATAAAAGCCCCAAAAGTACATTATGTTGTCCAACATCTGCAATATTTGTCAAACTGTAGACTTCTGCTTGTTGCTTACTGTACGTGGGCAGAGTAATACACAAAGGTGAAGAGGGCTTTGTCTGCTGTTACTGGCAAAATATCACATGGCTATCAGCCAATCAGATTTAAGAACCAGACAGAACTGTTGTATAAAATATATATATATA